CCAAAAGAATACGTACTAGAACATCAGATAACCCCTGAACACTACCTGGTTAAAAGGGAACCACTTACAGCACTAACGGTAGCAATTTTGCTCAGCATAGGAGGAGCAGGAGTAGGAACAGGGGTCGCTTCCTTAGTAAGTCAAACCCAGGGTATGAAAGCTCTGCGCACATCTGTAGATGAAGATCTGAGTAGAATAGATAAAGCCATAAGTGAACTAGTTAAATCAATAAAATCCCTTTCTGAGGTAGTCCTCCAAAACCGAAGGGGATTAGATTTGTTATTCTTACAGCAAGGGGGACTGTGTGTTGCTTTACAAGAAGAATGTTGCACTTATGTAGATCACACAGGTATTGTAAAAGACACGATGGCTGAGTTACGCAAACAAATAGAACAACGAAAAAGAGAAAGAGGATCCCAGCAGAGTTGGTATGAATCCTGGCTCACCTATTCTCCCTGGCTAACCACTCTATTATCCACCCTTGCAGGACCCGTAATTTTACTAATTCTAGTACTTACTTTTGGGCCATGTATTCTTAACAAGCTTATTACAATAGTGAAAAATAGGTTAGAAGCTGCACATTTAATGATGGTAAGATCAAAGTACGAGCCACTTAGCGGAGTAGAAACTGAAAATTATTTAGAATTGAGCAAAAGGGAATTAGAGCGCTTTAGTGAACAAAAAGGGGGTTAAAATAAAAAGGGGGGATATTGTTAGGAAAATAGGGCCTTTTTGTTCATAATATAGAGTTTTCTCACATCCATAGAATAGAGTTTTTACTTAGAGTTTTCACTTGTCTGAATATGTTCTCATTTTGCCAGGCATTCCAGTAAGTATCTCTCAAGGACAATTCCGTTACAAACTTTTTAGGGAGTTGAAACTGTTTTAGGGAGTTGATGTTGCTAGGCACCTAAGCACCTGAGCGAGTATCTTTCAAGGACAGTTCCGTTACGGGCTTAGCAAAACATGTACTCTTGTGAAATGCAAGTAAACGTGCCTAGAGATAACATTTCTTGTTTTGAGAAAATCCCTAGATCACAGGGAAAACCTCGAGGAAGACTACTGGCCTTCATCCCACGACCACCAAGAGGCAGAAAACGACCACCTAGCAACAGAGTGCGCCTGCGCAGAAAAGACACCAGAACGTCACACATCCGGAAGAGGAGACCCAATAAGTGGGGGGGGACGGGGGACGAAGGCGCGGTAGTTGGAATGACTGCCGCCCAGCGCAGCGCTAATTTGCTTTCGTTTTCTACCATTAATAAATCTTTTTAATTGGATTAGAAAGCCTATTGTGCTCGTTCATAACAAGCACCATCATAGAATGCGCTGGAAGACCCTCGAGGAAGGGATCCAACAGCTGAGGGAAGTGGCAGCATTGGAGGTACTCTTTGGGAGGGATGGACAGCATGATAATGACCCCGACCTGGTCAGGTGTACAGGACAAATGCTGTGGAGTCTGGCAAGGCTGGGGCCATCTCAGTACACCACCTTCATTGCCACGATTAATGTCGATACCAGCCGAGAGACAGTGGGTTTAAAGGAAAGGTTCCCTCTACCCACCATGCCAACAACACCACGTGGAGCAAATGGATTGCACACAGTGCGCCTGTATTGGAAACTTGAAACGCTCTGATTTTGAAAATAATTGCAAACTGGCAAGAAGTTAAAAAATTTGGTCTCACTGATGAAGAGGAACAGGTGACACAGTCTGAAGAAGCTCCACCGTACAACACCCAGCAGAAGAAGCCCAATATGCTCCTTTCACTGACGGTTCCTGTCGCATCGTAGGGATGAAACACAAGCACAAAGCAGCCCTAAGGAGCCACACGTGACAGGTTGCACAAGCTACCGAAGGACAAGGTGGATCCAGTCAACTTGCTGAACTCAAAGCTGTTCAGCTGGCCCTGGATATTGCTGAAAGGGAGAAGTGGCCAAAGCTCTGCCTCTGCACTGAGTCATGGATGGTGGCCAATGCTCTGTGGGCAAGGCTGGAAAGGTGCAAAAAGGCCAACTGGCAGCGTAGAGAAAAGCCACTCTGGGCTGCTGATGAGCAGAAAGACATTGACAAACCGGTGGAGAAGCTACCTGTGAAAGACTGTGATGTAGATACCCCTGTCCCCAAGAGTTGGCCTAGTGAGGAGCACTGAAACAACGAGCAGGTAGATCAGACTGCAAAGATAGAGGTGTTGAAGATACACTTAGATTGGCAACAAAAGCAGAAGTTGTTCCTAGTGGTATGTATGTTGGTTATAATTTACGCCAATGTAATATTGTTGTATTTGACCAAGGGAAATATGATTTGACATGTATAATATTTTGTTATTGCAAAACACACGTGCCAGCACTGTGAGCTCCCCCCCCCCCCCAACATATTGGTTACACCAGAACCGGTTTTCTTGGACAAAGCCTCATTTACACTTTAATCCATGTGGCTCAAACAGAAATGGGCTGTTCCAAAGGGTGTTATTGGAACACCAAGGTGCTGATCATCCTGGTAACGACCCAAGATTGGGATCACTGGAGTCCTCTGGGCTGATACATCTGAATGCCACAGTTCCTGTAACTCCACCAGGGAAAATCGTCCCCACCTGGACTTGGATTGTTCAACCTCGACTTGGAGAAAAGAACTTTATGAACATGTGGGACACTGACTAGAAAGAAAAGGCGAATGGCTGAAATCCTCGCCTCCAGCAGAAAATTTCCTATAAAACTGCAGGGTCCAAGAGGGTGGTGTGTGTGTCCAGGGGAACCTCGGCTGAGAGGATCCTTCCTGTCACACACCCAGCACCGATCCTGGGCTGGGCACTGTCCTTTTTCCTTGTGGCTGGGTCAGAGAGAATTCGATCCTACGTGTGGTCCCAACGGGTGAATGGGTCTGTGAGGCATGCCAAAGGGGTTTTACCACCAAGCTTGGCCTGGGCCAGCACAAGAGGTTAATGCATCCTCTTGTGAGAAATTTAGAACGGATTGTTGCTTCTCATCCTAAAGAGTCATCTGCACGGGGAACCCACAAAAAGGTATGGACTGAGGAGGAAGAGGCTCTCCTGGTACAATTGGTGGAGAGATTTGCTGGTAGCAGAAAGATAAACCAATTAATTGCGGAGCAAATGCCATCTAAAACAACAAAGCGGATCAGTGATAAGAGACACCTTCTGGCAAGAGGTCCCTCTGCGAGTGTTAAATCTGGACCAGAAGGGAGAGTGGGAGAAAACTATCAATCTAAGTCGGCTGGATTGCCAAAGGAGGGTCAGTTGAAGCTCATATATCATGAAGTTACCAGATCGGGGCTGTCGGCTGGTAG